AGAAAATTTTTTATATAAAAAAACAAATTATATAAAAAATATATATATATATATATAAAATAAAATTTTTATATATATAAAAAAAATTTTTATATAAAAAAATTTTTTCTATATAAAAAAAAAATCACTAATTTATTTTAATTTTTTTTTTTTAGAGACCTGATTTACTTATTTTCTCTTTTAATATATAATCTAGTTTCATGAACCAACTTTTCAAACATATAAAGACATGTATGACTTTGGAATTTATTTGATTTTAAGTAAGGCTAATTGTATATCTTGCAATAAAAAAGGTTTGTTTACTTGCTACATTTATGAACTGAACCAAAAGAAAGTTCATTGCAATATATGCAAGTGTTAGGAATTAGCTGAAGTTTGCTTTCTATTAGAAGTGAATTAGTCTTACTTTCTGGCTCAGAAAAGTATTTTTCAATTTCACATTGATTGAAATTTATTTGATGACATTTTGTAAGATTTTAAAAAAGCTCACATGTTAATTTAGTAGCAGTAGTAGATAAAGGTTTATTTTTTTTAGTTGATTTATATATTTTATATACTTCATAAAGTTTATTAATAGCTTGTTCATGTTTAGTAACATCAAAAGTAGAAAGTTTATTATAAGAATCAAGAAGTTCAGAAATTGTTAACAACTCATTTAGATGAGCCTAATATAATATAAATTTACTTTTATTGCATTAGCTATAGTATGTTATATATTGACCACTAAGTTTTTATTATTATTTAAATGTATAATAAGGTCTTGGAATATTAAGTACAAGTTATCTTGTATTGAAAATATTAATAAAGATAGCATTACAGTTGCATAATATATGGATTTAAGAAGAACTAACAGGTCTTGTAATTTACAATAATAGAATTAAAATATTTTTTAAAATATATATAGCAATTTATTTAACTAATCATTAATAATTTTTTATTTTTGTTTGTCAGAATAATATGATTTTAATATATAATTGTTTACAATAAGAATATCAGTTATAGACTAAATCTGTTGAAGTTTCTTTAACAAAATATATATACTGTTTCATTTGGTATCAATATAAGTTTGAGATATTAAAAAAGAAATGTTTTTTATTTCAAAAATTTGTTTTAATTCTCTAATTAGTGACAGAGAGTTTTAAAGTTTTATAGAAAACTCTTACACTTTGGAAATTTCTTTACTAACTGACTTAATTCCTTCTTTAACAATAAGATTTAGAATATATATACTATAGTGAAAATGCTATATATTATTGTTACTAAATTCATTATTCATTTTTTTTTTAGAATATACCTTATTGCAATTATATTAAAAGCATTATTTGTCATTACTCCTAAAAGCTTTTGGCTTATATTTATTTCGAATAAAAGTTCAATTATCATATTAGTTTAGTTAGCTGCAATGTGCATTTGATTGAAAGGAATAATGTCTAATAAAATATAATGTATTTTTCATTCAGAATCCACTCAGTATATAATTATATCAAGATAGAATTGTTACATGCAAAATGTTCATTCATCTATCATAATCAAAATTTTTTATTAAATAATGTTAAAAAAAGATATGATTTTATTTTATTTTTAATATATTCTTGACTGGCCCAAGTTGAGAAAGTCTGTCAGCATGAAAGTTTGTATCATAGATCAAGTTCATATAAAAAATTAATAAATTCAATATTTTTCAACCAACAAAAATAATTGTTGATCAATGATTACCTATTTTAAAAGTTTATTATTTAATGTATTTATTTTTATTCATCATTTAAACTATAAGGATCAAGTTGATGAAGTTTATATTGCTTGATTTTAGTAAACTCTACAGAATGAAAGTTTTGAAAATACTGATTAATAGTTGATATTGCAGTCTATAGAGGTCTGATCTGTTGAATAATTATTCGAATATTCGATGAATATTCAGATATTCGAATATATAATTATTTTATTAAATTAAATATTGAATATATTTCATATTCATCAATTAATTTAATGAATATTCAGTGATATTCGGTGATACAAAGTACTAAAATTAATCATTATTTTCCTTTTTCTTGCATGTGCCATCCTTTGATTTTACTAATTGTTTTTGTTTTTTTTAGCATTTGCATCTCTATTGTGGCTTGGCAGCAGATCTTCTTACAACAATTTGGAACTTTGCACAGAGCTTTCTTTAGCGATTTGGCCACAATTTGGTCATGGAACAGGAATCATTGTGAAATGTTTCTCTTTAACAATGTTAAGCCACTTTGGCTTAAAGTTTGTGAATTAAAGAAATTAACCTGATAATTATTTTTAATTTATTAATTTTTTTAAAACAAGCCTATTGTGTTTTTACATCTATGTATATAATATCTCAAAAGCTAGAAATTAACGAGTGATAAACCTTCAGTTCTAAACTCTAATATAAATGTATATGTTGTACTTAAATAGAAGTCAGAATCAGGACCACTCTAAAGTCTGGGTTAGGTGTTTTCCGTTAATTAAAATTTGACCAAAATCTAGTGAGAAAAACTTTTTATATTACCTGTAATTAAAGTGGTAATGCAAAGTGTAATTCTAGCCTAAATTATGCTAACTAAATTAAAATTTTGTTATTGTTATTCTAAACCTTAAAATTTGTAAATTAAAAAAATAATGATGCAACTTTAATCATTTAAGTACTAGGATTATTTAAATAGACTTAGAAATATCTTATGAATACTATGTAGAGTAAAAATCTGAAAATGAAAATTTAAGTTTTTACTGCAAATTTAATCTTGAAGAATCAAAATATTCCACTTAAATTTTAATTTTCGAATTTTTAATTCAGTTGTGATAAATGTTATGAGATAGCAATACGAATGTTGTAAGATTAACACAGGAATACCTTTGAATGATTGGCATTCATAAATGGTGACCAGATTAAGATACTTGAAAATTTGGATGAAACTTAACTACAATTTAAATTCTAAAAATTTATTAAAATAAATTAAGGTATTTTAACCAATAATTTATAACTAACAAAAAAAAAAAAATGTATTAGCATCTAAATATAAAAAATATCGCAGCTGATGCTGAAATTTGTAGTCTCGATTTGAAAATACAAGCTTGCTAAAATTCATATATACACTTTAATTATAAATTCTGGCCCAAAATCCTAACCAAACCTAAAAAAAAAAGTAAAACACTCCAAATTTTTATATTAAAATATGTTCAAATTTCAGCACCAGCCACTACAATAAATAATGTAAATATAAATACAAAAACCTACTTTATTTAGAAACAAAAACTTAATATTCTAACTTCACATTTGAAACAAGTGATTTCGTAGATGTTCGGATGTAAAAAATATACAAGATCTATTGTAATAATCAGAGTTATTGAACTTTATAAATATATAATCGTTTAGTGTATTTAAGTTAAACAGCTTATAAGAAAGTATGATTATCATAAATAGTTGAACCAACCAGAAAAAGAATTAACCCAATGACTAGCAACATGGAAAATGTTTATATTGTCTTACTGAGAGCGTATGAAATACTTCAGAGACTGTCAAATGTAAGATCAGGAAAAAAAAAAATACTACAAATAGATTTGATTGATACAGATCTTTTAATAAAAATTCATCTATATATCACAATAAATATATGACATTTTATTGTAATAAAATTGTAATCACTATAAAAAAAAAATGCAATGAGTTACAAAAATAAGTAGTATAGTTGCTAATAGTACAATTAACAAAAAAAAATGCTTTTGCTTAGTTCACATAAGCTCATCCATAACTTAATAGTATCACTAGTAGCAATGATTTTAATGGCAATAATTTTATAATAGTAGTGAAGGTATTTGTTGCATAATCAGAAATTTTTCTTGTGATGTTCAGGATTATGCAAACTCGGCACATCTCAATGCTTTTGACAAAATGAACATGTCAGGACAGCTATTAAAAATTGAAAAAAAGCCACCGCTTATATTAGTATTACGTATTGTATATATTATACATTTTATTATTAGAACTTATAACACTTATATTGTACGAATTCAATATAATCAAATCATGAATAGTCGGGTAATCTAGTAAAGTTCGGTTATAGCTTTTTGTAAATTCAATTTCTACAAATAATCATAATAGCAAGCTATATTTGCTTATAATTGTATGCAGTAATTTAAAAAAAAATAGCAATAATAATTATTAATAAGCAATCGTTGCATTTGTTGAATTCAAGATTGATTATACAATTAAGAGCCTAGTTCAAAATAAGTTACATATCAAAGGTTTTCAATTTTAAATACAGCCCTTGCTTCATTTTTAGGGCTGTTGTATTCATAGTATATTAATAATGCGTTAGGAAAATGCCAACTTGATTTTTAAAGTCCCGTGCCAAGCACTGACACCCATAGACATGAAAGTGCCAGACAATTTAAGTCAGAACTTTTATGCCTACAGGTGCAAGGTGCCCAACTCATTTTCATGCCTGCGCCACAAAAATGCCTGACAGTTTTAAGCCAAGTCTTTGTATCTATGCCTTTCGTTGGGTGTTGACATGCACCAGGATTGCAGACTCTATTGATTTTGTGCATAATTGAATTTCTATAAAAAGTTGTGCAGAATTCATAAAATACTAAGTTGGTATCTTAAGGTGCAGCATTAACATGCCTATAATACGCTAACCATAAAAATAAGTATTGTTCTTCATAAAATAATAGGTAGCGATTATCGTTTGCATAATTGGTATATGATAGAAAGCAAATATTAAAATAATGTATAAAGAAGTGTAAAATGACAGAAATCAAATATTAAAATGATATATAAGAAGTATAAAAGGCCTCACAATTAAATCAAGTAACAACTCAATCTTATATACAATAAAGATAATAATATCCATCCTTTGAACTATATCATCATCTCCAATTATAAATATTTTTAATTAGTGTAAATAAAGCAATAATTATTGTAAATATATACATTAGATTTCCCATTATTGTACTGAAGTTTAAGACTCTTGTTCAATATATTTATGATGGAAGATGATGATCTACAATCCTCTTTGTCAGTTCAGTCATTTGATGAACCATATGCCAACCGATCTGAAAGCTCCATGTTAGAAAACACATATACAAGTGAAGAAAGCAACAATGAATTATCTGAAAAACTAATATATAAAAAAACAAAACTAGGCCATAGAGGTGGATCAAAAAAACAAAGCTAGGTGTGGAAGTATTTTGAATTCGAAAAAGTAATTGAAACTAAAAAAGAATCTGAAGATATCAAAATTGAGATTATATACGGTGTTTGTTTTGTATTAGATGATTTAGGAAAAAATTGTAATACACAATTGAGAATAATAGGTGGATCGACCTCAAATTTAATATCTCATTTAACAAACACCCATGGTATTACGCAAGATAGACCTAAATTATGTGAAGATGTATAAATTATTTTTTATATAGCAATTACAGTCAACTCTCTCTAAACCAAACCTAGATAAAATAAACATATAATTCTAAGCCAAACTTTAAAATTTAAATAAATCTTTTTTAATATAGGTGACCCTATTAATAAAATATATTAATTAATTGATTTTAGAATAGGGTAATCTATATTAAAGAGATCTCTGAATCCTTTTTTCATTTTTTTAATAAATCCCAAAGGTTTGGTATAGAGAGAATTAATAATATTAGTTTTTGTAGAATTATTTAATAATAAAAATTTTCTTATCTAACCCACTCAAATCAAAATTGATTTTTTTGCAAGATCTGACTCCACCCACATACTAAAGCAAAAAATGATAAGCTGACCAAAGCTTTTGTTAAGTTTCTTATCCAGGACGTATAACCAATTAGTCTTGTAGCAAGCCTTAACTTTAGTGAATTCATAAATGAATTAGATCCAAGGTTCAGTTACCTAATGAAAAACATGTAAAGCAAATAATTCATACATTATATAATAAATCTTTTGAGATTATGCAGAAAAGGCTCAAGAATTCTATAACATATTGTTCACTAACTACCGATTTGTGAACATCTCATAATAGACAGGGGTATCTTGGTATTACCTGCTCATGACTAGATTCTGATTTCAAAATCCACGAAGTATTACTTTCTTTTACATATGTCCGATATCCTCACACTGCAAATGTTATCCAAGAAAAATTAGAAGAAGTAATTGAAAAATGGGGTCTCAAAGGAAAGGTATATTCAATCATAACTAATAATAGGTCTAATATGAAAGCAGCAATTAATAAAATGAGTGATATAGTAAGAATCCTATGTTCAGCCCATACATTACAACTTGCTGTTGGAAAAGATCTGATGCCTGTTGAAGCATTCATGGCACACGCCAAGTGATTAATTAATTTTTTCATGGCACCAAAGCAAAATGAACAACTCAAAGATGCTCAAAAAACATTCAGGCTCTCGGATAATAATGTAATGTTTAATTTTTTAATAAAAATAACTAGGATACATATCACTTAAACAAAACCAGTTCATTAATAATCATTATGCCAACATAGGGTTATCAATAGAAATATTTCAAACTACAATAAAATACAAACCATTCTATTTTTAAACTATAGTGGTTTATATGTTTTATTATAACTTGAAATATTCCTAGTACTCTGCAAAATCAAATCAAAATTTGAATTTGAATCAAATATTTGATATTATTTGATCAAATTTTTAATTAATTTGATCAAATAATCTCAAATATTTGATTTAAATTCAAATTTTGATTTGATTTTGTGAAGTACTAATATAAAATTCTATTGATAACTCAATAACGACAAGATGTTTCATGGTTTCTATATATTATATCATAAACTATTTAATAACTAAAATATCTATTATTATAGTTAATTACCAAAACTTCAACATACCTTCATGCAAAAATAGATGTGTCCACTCGTTAGAATTCATCTTTTTTTGCTTGGGAACGACTTCTACTTATTAAAGATGCCATTGACATTGTCTTAGCAACATTAACCGTTTCAAATGAACCTGAAGCAAGAAAAGATACAAGAAGGTTAAAAGAAATATAATTAACTAATAATGAGTGGGATTTGATGCAAGATATTGTTAATATTTTGGGTCCCTTTTTTAAAGTTACAGAAGTACTCGATGGTTCCGAATATGTTACATTTTCCTATATGATCCCCTCTATTTTAGGATTAATAAATAAGTTAGATTGCTCTACAGACTATTCTAATGAATCGAATGATATAAATTTTGAAACTCCTGACCTAGCATTCGATGATAATATTGGATTTGTTGATGCACAGAAAGAGGAAGAAGGTAGTCCTAAAGGAAAAAAAATTAAAATCAATACACCTATTGACATTACTAACATGCAACACAAAATTAAGAATGCATTATATAATGCACTCTTACACTATTGGGATTTTTCAGAGGAAGAATTATTTCTTACATACCTTCTGGATCTGAGGTTTAAAAAATTAAGATTTGCAACATCAACTTAACAACTCCAAGCAAAAGCTGTACTTCGAGAAAAATATAACAATATTAAATCACTTCATCAATCTTTACTAACCTTAATAAACCAGCCTTTAGATTTTATTGAAGAGCAACTTTTAGTTGAAAATAGTCGGAAAGAACTATACCAAATCTATCAAAAAACATTCATCAAATTAATTTTTATGCACAATACTGTCGATGAGCCAATTGATGAAATTAGTTATTACCTTTCTTTACCTGATGCTTCCTACAATCATAATCCTTTTCATTGGTAGAATGATCAAAAGACCTCCCTCCCTCTTTTAAGTGAGCTTGCAAAACTGTATCTTGCGATACTCGCAACCTCAACTCTGAGTGAGTGACTTTTTAGCGATGTAAGCAATATAATGACTGTTAGAAGAATGATGCTAAAACCAAAATTATTTGAAAGGATGTTATTCTTAAAACGAAACTGTAATGAACTAGATAATGCTTATGATTTGATTGAGTAAAATTTTAGAGATTGTCTTTTTTTTTTTTTTTGGAAGCATGTTTTCTTTTTTTTTTTTTTTAGTATTTTTATCATATTTTTTCTTTTTTTTTCTTTTTTTTTCTTTGTTTTCATAATGACAAATATAAGATATAAATTTTTTTCAAAACCAACTTTTATTAATAAATAAAGTGAATAAAATATATAAAAAAAAACAAATACGAAATAGCACAGTATAATAATAAAATACCTAGAAGGCAATTTTCTTAGTATAATTTTTTAGTGCATGCCTTTAAGAACAAACAAATTTAAGATTTGAATAAATGATTTTTTGCAAGATACAAAAACATAATGGAAATTTAGATTTATACTTATGTGGCCAAGCGAAAGATTCAGCCTCCAAACAGCTCTGCTTTGAGTTTTTAGTGTACTAATAACAGAATTGCTAAGATCTAGAGCCTTGAGATCATTTAAAACTTGCAAGTGAACTAAAGATTGTGTTATAGTGTGTAACTTGCACTTTTAATGAATCGAAAATATGAAGATATGTATATCAAATATCATCAAATATTATCGAATAAATTGAATATTTATTTGGATTTTTAATCAGTTATTCGGATATAATAGGTTTGATCAAATGAATATCTGAATTGTCAGTTTTTTGACCAGATCAAACCTTTAGCAGTCTAGCTGCCAAATGTTTGTTCATATAATTTATATATTTTATCTCTATCAAGAGTTGGTAAAAGATAATTTCTAATAAGTGCTTGATTATTTGCAAATGAAATTGAAATATTACTTTATATTTGATTTATGTTATCGAATAATGATATAATTTTATCACTTATAGTTTCTTTACTAGATGTTTTAGGTTCTTTGTTTGCAAATTTGATATTTGCTATAGGTTCAGATTCATTTATTTCTATTTTTTATTTTTGTTTTGTTTTTTATTATTTTTTATTATTTTTATTTTTTTTTATTTTTATTTTTTTTTATTTTTATTTTTTTTTATTTTTATTTTTTTTTATT